CATCAGGTTTTACGGCAAGTTGGGCATTTAATGGTGAGATTTAATGGAAACATCTATAACATATCGAAAGCTGGAACGTCACCTGTTATTACGAAGCACACAAAAGTGAAAAAATGAAAAATATAAACTCAAAATTAAATTTTGTTTTAATATATGTTTATGCAATGCATTCTCTATGGCACATCCTGTGATGTTTATTTGACTGGGAAACACTGGCCAGGGCGGAAGTCAGCCATCTTGTCCACTCATTTCTGGCGATGAGTCGAGTAGAAGATGCAGGGTCAACAAAAACAAATGACCATCACCACTACAGTGTTTTCAAATGGTCAGCCATATTACTTTGAATCACAGAAAAATATGACATGCAACTATAACCCAATATGTATGATCATCATCATACCAACTTGAAAATTTCATCTCTGAGAAACAGCGATTTAGCGCTTTTACATGAAAAATGGGCGTTGGCCAGCCCTATTGAATCATAAAAATCGTATCGGTGCAGATGTATCTCTTGGTATACTATATTTGTACAAAATTTAAACAGAAACGTTCATTGCATTCAAGATAAAGTAGCATGGGTACCATGTCGGCTATATTTGTTTGAATCACGAAAAAAAAATGTCATGGACCTACAGCCCAATATGTATGATCATACAAACTTTGATCCAAATCGGCCCAGTCATCTCCGAGAAACTGCTGTGGACACGTTTAGGTATCAAAAATAACAAATTTTACATCCAAAACAGCCACCAGTTGGCCATTTTTGCTCCTATCATAAAGTAACTTGATGCGCATATGTAAGACATTATGTATTGTCTTCATGTAAAGTTCGAATGAAATCCGTCAATGGGTGACCGAGATATAGCTCCGGACGTACGTACGTACTAATGGACGTACTGACGGAATGAACCCCAATTAATAGTCCCGGTTTTCGGACTTCGTCCAAACAGGGACTAACAAAACAGACCTTCAAGGAGTAGCAAAAAGTTTTTTTCTCGAACAGGGAGCCTTGGAGACCAGAACAATGGTGGCGCAGTGGAAAAACTCATTCATCAAAGCTCATTTTTAAAAGCCACCAAATTGGCCATTAAAACAATTTTAAAAACTTTCTGGCCTGTCTTCTGCTGGAAAGACAATTATTATCATTAAGGTGCACCTGGTGGGTGATACCATTATTTTTAATTCCAGGGGCAAGTGGCTGTCAGTAGTAAACCCATTCTGTCTAATATAGACACATATGTAACTTAAACAAATAGGGGTAGTAATTGGAGTGATATCATGGATTAGAAAGATGATGGAAAGATGATGCCAGTCTGTACTACTACTATAGAAGGTAAAATCAACTATTGAATACATTGTCTTGTGTTACACAAAAAAAAAACAAGTGAAACATTTAACTAGGTACATTTGTACACACTATGGCAAAATGGTCTGTGCCACCTAATTTATTAAAGCTCTACTGAGGGAAAACACTTGAAACTAGGAAATGTAACAGCCTGAAAACAGAAGATTGGAAAATAAACATTCACTACTTATTCATATGCAAGGCCAATAACTTGCATGCCTGTTTTGCTGTTTTGATTACCTTCTTACAAAAATAGCCACAAGATGGACCCCCCCCCCCCAACCAGGAAGAACCAATCCAGCTTGAGTCCTTGATGATACCTTAGACTGGTTGAAATGAAGAATCAAAGAAAGCTTAGAAA